ACCCCCACCCCGGTTCACTTCTATCCAAAATAAAAAGAATTTTTTAATGTGCATTTTCATAATCCAAGTTGTCATTTTTTAAAAAAGTCTCAGTTGTCTTTAAAAAAAAAGGGAGAAGAAGATAGAGAAAATGCACAAAATCACTCTGTCAAAATGAATTGGCTAATACTGAAATATTTCAGAAAGTACCATAGGATCAAGGTAATTAAATAAGAAGTTCAGGCTACACTGAAGATATGGGCAAAAAATAAGGTCTAGGGACTCAATGGGATACCCAGTGACATGTTTCAAATGACAGATGCATCACTGGATATCCTCACCAGTCTATGTTAGGAAATTTGGAGGACAGCTGTTTGACTGACAATTGGAAGAGATCCACATTTGTTTCCAGTCCCAGGGGAAGTGATCCAACAGAATGTTGAAATTACCTAACAATATAACTAATGTCACATACAAGTGAAATACTGCTGAAGATTGTTCAAAAACAGCTAGAACAGTACAGAGAAAAGCAAATTCCAGAAATTCAAGATGGATTTAGTAGAGACCTTGGCACGAGGGATATCATTGTTGATCATTGCTGTTAGATGGATACTGGCTGAAAGTAAAAAAGAAAAAGAAATAAATAAAAACAGAACACATAAAATCTATTGGTTGTGTGGGTCATAGTGCATTATATTAACATTGAGAAGAACAGGTATCCCAGAACACTTAATTGTGCTTATGTAAATCCTGTACCTGGACCAAGAAGTTGTTGTGTGAACAAAGCAAGGGACACGGCATAGTTTAAAATTAAGAAAAGTGTGCATCAGAGTTGTGTCATTTCTCCATACCTATTTCTTCTGTATGCTGAGTAAATTAGTTGAGATGCTTGACTCTGAAGAACAATGAGACTTCAAGATTGGAGAAGAACTCATTAATAATTTTCATTATTCAGAGGACATAATTTTGCATACTGAGACTGAGGAGGACCTGAAAAGCTAGCTGCAGAAGATTAAAAACTACCGCCTTCAATATGAATTGCATTTCAATGTCAAGAAAACAAAAATTCTCACTACTCGATTTATAGACAACATCAGGATAGATTTTGTGTTTGTTCGTTTTTTCTTAGAAGCTCATGATATCTACATGGTATGTTCTTCTCCCACAACACAGTTCAAAGACATGCATTCTTTTTGGTCTTCTTTGTTAATTATCTACACTTAGATGCATAGGTAACAATCAAAATACCATGGCTTGAATCAGTCACACCTTAATTTTTAAACTGGCATCTTTGTTCTTTAGTTATATACTAGGATATATCATAAATCTTACTGCAAATTATAAGAGACTAAATCTCCCTCAAATAAATTTATAATATGAATTAG